ATTTGTCTAATCTAAAGTAATATAAAGTTAAAAATAATGAAATTTGAAAAAATTGAATTTTAAAAATTTTGAAACTACTGTAGTTTGCGTAGTTTTCGACGAAAATGGCTGGCTAACGAACTCGATCTGTATTTTAACACTAACTTTGTGCATACAAAGTTGCAAGTTGATGCAATAAGTTTTTCAAGAGTTATCGTAGGGACACCATTGTGTCTACAGACAGACACGAAGACAGACATACGGACAGACACTTTTTTTAGACCATGTTTTTCGGACTCAGGGGACCTTAAAACGTCGAGATTTCATGAAATTAGCGAAAGTCAATTTTCGACCAAAACTAATACTTTCTCATATGATGAGAATGTAAAAATTTAATAAAATTTTTAACAAACTTTTCACAATTCAATGATTTTCAATATCTACTATTTTCTTAAAATTTTCATACAGAATTCAGTTATTTTAAAAAAAATTTTCATGAATAATAAAAATTTTTCAGGAATTCAATTACTTAAATTAGAATTTGCGTAAAACTAGTCAAAAGAAATCAATTATTTAAAAATTTTTATAAAATTCTTCTCAAGAATGACATTACTTTTATAAATATTAAAATTAATTGGTGGAATTCAATTTATTGACAGGATAAGAAAAAAGTAAATATTTTTGATGAAAATTAGGAAAAGTCAGGATAAAAAATACAAATTATAAAAATAATTATTTAAAATTAATAACTGATAATAATATAATAATAATTTTATACTTGGGGAATCTAGAAGTAACAATAAAAATGAATTAAAATAAATTTGATCAAATATCTTTTAACAATATTATATTAAAATAATATATAATATTAAATTATGGACACCAACCTTTAGACTAAATTATAAAATTATTTATTTAAATAAAAATTTAATTCAATATAATAAATTGTATATAGAATTAAATATTGAGAACAGGAAAAAAATAAAAAATGCCAATAACCCACAAAAATTAAATTTCAAAACAAACAAATGAATGCAGAAAATTTGCTAACGGAAAGGAAACTTACGATTATTATAATGTATTTATATTTATAAATATTATTTTTAACTGAAATGTTTTGACATTTTTTTAAATAACTGAACTTCTCATAAAAATTAGTTAAAAATTATCTCAAATAAGCTATGAGTAGTTTTTCCAGGGTTGTGGGAGAAGGAAAAATTCTGTAAGCAAGGGTCAAGCAGTATTTAATAAATTCAGGGTTGCCACGCAACCTGGAAACCTGGAAATGTCAGGGAATTTTATAAACCTTGAAAAAACCTGGAAAAGTCAGGGAACTTTGATTGGAATTCTGGAAAATTATTGTTTTCGAAAGTTATTGTGCTTATTCTTGAAATCTAATTTTTCTTTAACTCAATTTTTTTAATTAAAATTTCTTAATTTAATTTTAAAAGAGTTGCCTTTATAATTTTTCTTCGCAATAATTCAATTATTTTCACAAATAATAAAAAAATTTATATATTTACAATTATTTTCATAAATAATAAAATTCATCGCAAAATTTCAATTATTTTTTATACACTTTTACAGGAATTGCTCGCGAAATGTAGGTATAATTATTCTTAAACAATTTATTAAAATTCATCAAAGAAATTCAATTATTTTCAAAAGTAATTAAATTCTTTGCAGAAATTCAATTATAGTCGAAAGTTTAAAAAATTTATCGTCAAAATTTCAATTATCTTTATAAATATTAAAATTTTTCTCCAAAATTCAATTATTTTCAAAAATTTTAATGAAAAATTCTTTTTTAACAAATTCAATTCTTTTTCAAAAATTCTCCCCCAGGCAATGATTTTTAATATCTACTATTTTAATAAAATTTTCCAAAAGAAATGAATTATTTTAAAATTTTTTTATAAATTTTTTCGCAATAATTCTATTATTTTCAAAAATATTCAATTTATGTTTACAGAGATTCAATTATTTTTATTAATATGTAATACAATTTTTTACAGGGATTCAATTATTGTTTTCATAGATAATAAAACTCATGAAAGAATTTCAATTATTTTTGAAAGAATTTTAATCGAATTCCTCGAAAAATGTAATTATTCTTAAAATTTTATTAAAATTCGTCAAAAGAATTCAATTGTTTAAAAATTTGTTAATAAAATTCTTTATGAGAATTCAATATTGAGAAACATTCAATTATTCAATAAATTATTTATTTTTGTAAAAAGAATTAGGTATTTAAAAAGAAATATTATTAAAAAATTCGTCTCAAAAATTCAATTATATTCAAAAATAATAAAATTTTTAGCAGAAATTCAGTTATGGTAAAAAATTTAAAAAAAGTTATAGCAATATTTCAATTGTTTATAAAAAAATTTTAATAAAATTCTTGCCAAAATTTCAATTATTTTCAAGAACTTTTCTCAATTCAATCGACATTTCATCGACAAATTCTTAATCAAATTCAATTATTTTTAATAAATTTGTAATCTAATTTCTCGAAAAATAAAATTATTCTTAAAAATTTTTAATTTTTGTTACATTTTTGCATTAACAAAATATTACAAAATTTATTAAAAAAATTAACAGTTCAAAAGCAGCATGCAAAAAAGTAATATCATTTACAATAATTACACAAAATTGTTCACTTTTTTAAATAAAAACATGATTGTAAATTTAAAAGTTCAATATTTTTAATAACAATAAATTATAAAAAATGTTTTTTTAAAATGTTTGTTTTATTGTAAACTACATGTTTTTACAATATTTAGAACATTTTAGAAAATCAATAAAATTTTTTTAACCCAGTTAATATGGCCTGGCCCAAAAACTTAAAAAAAAAAAAAAAAAAATTTCTATGAAAAAATGTTGTAGAGAAAAGTTGTTTGTATTTGTCTAATCTAAAGTAATATAAAGTTAAAAATAATGAAATTTGAAAAAATTGAATTTTCAAAATTTTGAAACTACTGTAGTTTGCGTAGTTTTCGACGAAAATTGCTGGCTAACGAACTCGATCTGTATTTTAACACTAACTTTGTGCATACAAAGTTGCAAGTTGATGCAATAAGTTTTTCAAGAGTTATCGTAGGGACACCATTGTGTCTACAGACAGACACGAAGACAGACATACGGACAGACACTTTTTTTAGACCATGTTTTTCGGACTCAGGGGACCCCAAAACGTCGAGATTTCATGAAATTAGCGAAAGTCAATTTTCGACCAAAACTAATACTTTCTCATATGATGAGAATGTAAAAATCAAAATTTACACCAACATTCAAAAAGTTTGCAAATTCGATTCAAAATGTATACTTGGGGGTTTTCGGGGTCGCTGATGACGAATCCGATGTCAGTTTTTAAAAATTTAAAATGGCAAATCCAATATGGCGGACATTTTAAAAAAAATTTCGATTCGCTTGAAACTTGTCACTCGAGGGTTTTTGGGGTCGCTGATAACGAATTCAATGTCAATTTTTTAAAATTCAAAATGTCGGATCCAATATGAGTGACAAAATTCAAGCGAATCCAAAATTAAAAAAAAATGTCCGCCATATTGGATCCACCATTTTGAATTTTGAAAAACTGACATCGGAATCGTCATCAGCGACCCCGAAAACCTCGAAGTCACAAGTTTCAAGCGAATCTAAATTAAAAGAAAAAATGTCCGCCATATTGGATCCGCCATTTTGAATTTTAAAAAACTCACATTGGATTCGTCGTCAGCGACCCCGTAAACCACCGAGTATACATTTTGAATCTAATTTTAAAACTTTTTGAATGTTGGTGTAAATTTTGATTTTTTTTACCATAATGCATTTACTTTTTCTAAATTTTGATTCCGCCATCTTGAAATCAGAATTTCTCTATATTTTATTTTGAAAGTACAACTATTTTGCCTACCAATAGCATACTTAAGAAAGGTTTAAAAATTTTTTTTAGATCTGAAATAAATGTACTTATTTTTTGGGTTTTTTTCAAAATAGCCGCCATATTGGATTTTGTGTTGATCTAATCGCTATTTTGACCCCAGAATCTGAAAGAGCGACCCCCAAAACCCCCTACATCTCATTGCTGCTAAAATTTATTGTCTATAAATACTTCAAAGCGTGTATTGAAGTCCAAGTACACTCGAATCTCGCTATAACGAGAAGTTCGGGAGTCAAGTCTCCCTCTATTACGAGCGCAATTCTTCATTCATTTTTTTTTAGTGTTTACAATTTTTATAATGTCAAAATTACAAACGTAACCTAGTTTAATTTGAACTTTAACATACAGAAATTTATATAAGCTAAAATTTTGAAGATGTTCGACTCATTGATATAATTTCAAATAAGAAGTGACTTTTCATGACTTTTTTTATTTTTATTTTATATAAATAATATTGATTTCAACCAAATTTAATCCAACTGAATGTGCATTTGTTTATAAATAGTGGGGGTAATCGGGAGGAAATTTTTCTCGCTATACCGAGAGACAGAGCCCTCGTTATAGAGAGCGCTCGTTATAGAGAAGGTCGTTATAGCGAGATTTGAGTGTAAAAATTTTGGTCATTTGGGCGTTAATGGGTTAATAGCACAAGTAGACACAAAACTGGCATTAAAAATAAGTTTCGTAAAAACATCAGAAACATATTTTAACCAAAAAAATTATCAAAAATGATTTAATTTATGTTTCATTATCAATATTCAAATGAAAGTAAGTGTCACATTAACAACAAAAGCTGTGTTAAAAGAATACGCAAAAATTTTGCATTCATTACGACTCCACTTTCTATGTGAATTAGAATTGGTTGAGACAACACGCAATAGAAATAACACTTCCTTTTTTCTCTGCTCTCAGTTGATACTTTTTTACATATATTATTTCCAGTGCTAAAAGTTTTATTGCAGATAAGATTTATTAGTACTAGTAGTAAAGTAGCAGAATTTCTTAGTATTATTCTGTTAGATATTGTTTTAGACTCAGTTGTAAAGAGTCATAATTTATGCATTAATTACAATATCAACAGAACCTACAACTGTATCAACGACTGAATCAACAACTGCAACAACCATAATTTCTGAATCGACTGAGTCAACAACTACAAGCTCTACAGTAACAACTAATGAGTCGACAACTCAATCGTCATCAGCAGCAACATCTGAACTATCTACTGAGTCAACAGCACAAACATCCACAGAGTCTACTGCTCCAATTTCTACAGAGTCGACAACACAACCATCAACAGAGTCTACTACCGGAACTTCTACTCAGTCGACATCACAATCATCATCAGAATCTACTACCGGAACTTCTACTCAGCCGACAACACAATCATCAACAGAATCTACTACCGGAACTTCTACTCAGCCGACAATACAATCATCAACAGAGTCTACTACTCCAATTTCTACAGAGTCAACAACACAACCATCAATAAAGTCTACTACTCCAATTTCTACTGAGTCGATAACACAACCATCACCAGAGTCTACTACTCCAATTTCTACTGAGTCGATAACACAACCATCAACAGAGTCTACTACTCCAATTTCTACTGAGTCGATAGCACAACCGTCAACAGAGTCTACTACTCCAATTTCTACTGAGTCGATAACACAACCATCAACAGAGTCTACTACTCCAATTTCTACTGAGTCGATAACACAACCATCAATAGAGTCTACTACTCCAATTTCTACTGAGTCGATAACACAACCATCAACAGAGTCTACTACTCTAATTTCTACACAGTCGACAATACAACCATCAACAGAGTCTACTACTCCTATTTCTACTGAATCAACAATACAACCATCAACAGAGTCTACTACTCCAATTTCTACTGAGTCGATAACACAATCATCACCAGAGATTACTACCGGAACTTCTACTCAGTCGACAACACAAGCATCTACAGAATCTACTACCGAAACTACTGAGTCAACAACTCTGACCTCTACGCAGTCAACTACGGGAACTTCTACTGAGTCAACAAGCCATTCATCATCAATTTCAACTTCTGTACCTTCTATCCAAACTACAACAATATCCTCTACGCAGTTAACTTTAATACCCTCTACTGAAATAACAACTCAGTCCTCTACCGTAACCGTTACTGTACCTTTAATTTCTTCAACAACTCAATTATCATCAGCTTTAACTGCTGATGCTTCTACAGAGTCAACAATTCAATCTTCGTCAGTTTCCACTTCTGCACCATCTACATTGTCAACAAGTCAATCGTCTACAACACAGTCGTTACGTGAGATATCTTGCATGCACATTTCCTAACTTGCAGGAAATCTTTAGTAAAAGCTTGCAGCAAGTAGGAAAATGTTCTCATAATTCTACAGTAAATGAGCTTACTTCACGCTTATTTAGTAAGTTAACAATGGTAGCTTGCATTCTATAGTTATGAAGACATTTTTCTACCAGCATCAAACTTGTTGATAACTTAAAGGTTACTTTTGTACCTATAATAACTCTAATTTATGAATTCATTTATGTCTAAAATATGATAGTAGATGTTTTGTAATTATTAACGGTACATTACAATTTTATTGTATTTAATTTCTAGTGCTCAAAATTTTATTGGAGATCAGTTTGGTTGGTAAGTAGGATGACAAATCATATGATCTTTACGATTATTACTTTGAAGAAATATGAGATTTCACGAGAGTTAAAAAATTTTAATGAGCAAAATTCAAAATTTTGAACATTAATTATGGTTTTTTATAGTAAATATTTGTTTATAACAATATTTGTAGAAAACATAATTTTTATAGGAACTACAATATCAACTCAACCTACAAGTGCATCAACCACAGTATCAACTACAGCATCAACAACAGATCAAACATCTGCATTCAGTACAACATCTATACCATTAACTGACTTAACGACTCAGTCATCATCAGTAGAAACTTCTGTATCTTCTACTAAATCAACAACTCCATCATCATCAGTTTCTAGTTCTGAACCTTCTACTGAATCAACAACACAATCATCATCATCAGTAGCAACTTCTATATCCTCTACTGAATCAACAACAGAATCATCATCATCAGTAGCAACTTCTATATCATCTACTGAATCAACAACTCAATCATCATCAATTTCTAATTCTGAACCTTCTACTGAATCAACAACACAATCATTATCATCATCGTCAGTAGCAACTTCTATATCCTCTACTGAATCAACAACTCAATTATCATCAGTTTCTAGTTCTGAACCTTCTACAAAATCAACAACTCAATATTCCTCAGTTTCTAGATCTGAACCTTCTACAGAATCAACAACGCAGTCATCATCACTTTCAACTTATGAACCTTCTACTGAGTCGACAACCTCTACAACTATTTCCACGACAGATTCAATAACTATCTCATCATCTACATTATCGACGACACTTGCAACAGCTCCATCAAAAGTGTGCTCAGAGAGAGAAATATATGACGCCAATGCTTTGCACATAAAATGTCAAACCTCCTGTGCTTTTCCTTTCGGTCAACCTGATTGTCCTCAAGTATTATGAATAATTAATAATTAAAACACTGCGTCTTTCGGTAAAAATTAAGTACTATATTTTCTTTTTCCTTTTCAGGGATTTTATCCAGGTTGTGTATGCAGAGCAGCACAACCTGTCAGAAACGCAAACAATGTATGCATCATTCGCGAAAACTGCCCATCAGCAAGTAATTATATAGTACCTTTGGGTCGCCTAAATGATGGATTTCATTCTTCGAAAAGCCTTCTACTATTTAGGATCTTCTATAATCCCCATTTTATACCTATGATAACGCAAATCTCCATGACCAGTTGACAGCCCCGTTATTATTTTTGCCTCTTTTCTATTAAGTTTGCGCAAATCGGCTATTCTCTTGAGATTCATATTGATTTCTATAAGTTTTTAAGCTTGAATACAGCCCTTAGTCGCCTGACTTTCCGTCTAATGAGCTGCAGTCAGACACTGCTTGAACCTCAGGACTAAACATTTATCAGAAACACCAATCGGAGGCTCAAGCCGAATAAATTGTTCCTTACTTTTTTCTTAACTAGATCATCCACTATCTCACTACCCCTGAATACATTGTAACCTAGGACTCAAAGAAGAGTGAAGCAGTTGTTCGAGAACCTTCTTACTTGCATGATCTCTTTATTTCCAAAATACATCAGTGTGGTATCACATGATGATGCTCTGAAGAAGCAACTAAACTTGCCAAAAACATTGCCTCAATATTGTGAAAATTGCATAACTGTTGTTCTTTTTGGAACAGGTGCTGCGCGAGCCTGTTACGTGATTAATTTGTTAAATTTTAATTCTGTTATACGTTTTTCAGTTAAATGACAGTTCGGTTATTTATCAGTTGCGGAAATTTCATGCATCCCAATTTTTTTGAATATTTGAGGTAGTGAAAAACTTAAGCAATCTGCCAATTAGACGACCCAACTATATTTTTAAATTTGTTATAAATATTTGCAGCTTTTTGCAAATTTATTACTTGCCTTCTATGTAAATTTTAATTAGTGAAATTTCACTGATGAAATAGTTGGAATTATAGTGCCTGAATCACTTCAGTAAATTTTTCACTGAAATTCAGTCGTGTGTCATACTGAAAACTAATAAAATATTTACTGATTTAAACAGTGAAATCTGTTTCATTTACAATCGGTAAAACAGCTCTAACTGTTTAAATCAGTAATAATCATGGTTTTCAGTGAAAATGTTACTATAGTACTTCAGTCGCTTAATTCCAACTATTTTACCAGTGGATTCAAATTCAGAGAGTTACTTACTATGTACTGAGAGAAAAATATGTTACGGGGTAACATAATGATCTTATGAAGTACCATATTTAGTGATCACAGTAATAAGGGATGAATTAATGTGGATTGGCACTTTCATGTCCTTAAATTCCAAACCGATTCCGTTTTTGTCCGCAATCGTAATGAATTCCATTTACTATCGTTAAGTTGTTCATTTCTATCCAATTCAATTCTCTGTAACCACGTGACCAGAATATCAATTACCTTTAATGCTATTTAAGGGAATCATTTTTTTGTTGTGGAATTAATGCCCCTTCATTACCTTGATTCCCTTAAAGAGCGTTAAAGGGAATTCAGTTTCTGGTCACGTAATTACAGAGAATTGAATTGGATAGAAATGAGCAACTTAACAATAGTAAAAGGAGTTCATTACGATTGCGAACAAAAACAAAATTGGTTTGGAATTTATAGGCATAAAAGTGTCAAACCACTTTAATTCATCCCTTATTACTGGGCTACATATACAGACAGCTATCTTGATTGTATAAGATATAATCAGGTTGTACGGAGTAATATCTTTGATTACACTGGTCGACAAAATTAAGGTTTTTTCTTGCTACAAGAATAAACGAAAGTGATTCTTACAGGATTTTCGACGTAGATTACGAACCTGTGAGTGAAATTGTCCCATCACGTCTCAATTTTGAGAAAAACGAGGTCAAAGTGCCAAAAATGGCTTTTATGGCACTTTTTGAAGTACAATAAAAAAAGAACGCGACGTGATAAAAAGCTCAAATATGACTTAAATGAGAGCTCAAACCTTTAACTTTAACATCCAAAAGCAAAAAACCATGTAGAAATAATTCAAAATTGTGGGGAACACCTTTTCGATAAAATCGCTAAAATATAGCCAAAATAATAGCTGTTTTACGCGCATGCGGTAAAAAGTTGTTCCCAACCATTTTGAGTTATTTCTACATGGTTTTTTGCTTTTGGATGTTAAAGTTGAGGGTTTGAGCTCTCATTTAAGCCATATTTGAGCTTTTTATCACGTCGCGTTCTTTTTTTATTGTACTTCAAAAAGTGCCGTAAAAGCCATTTTTTGGCACTTTGACCCCGTTTTTCTCAAAATTGAGACGTGATGGGACAATTTCACTTACAGATTCGTAATCTACGTCGAAAATCCTTCAAGAATCACTTTCGTTTATACTTGTAGCAAAATTTTGTCGAACAGTGTTATAGTGGGTAACATAACAATATTTTTGTAACATCTTCTTTTTACCATCAAAATCTTATTATTCATTTCTCTCAGTGCATTTGAAATTTGAATTATTTTCAACTATTTGCTAGTTGTGTAATATGTCTAAAATCTATTTGTTTAACAGCTACTATGGCATCGTCAAAGATTTGTGGTACAAATGAAACATATGATGCAAGAGCAGCACAACCTTCATGTCGACCAACTTGTGAAAATCCTCAAGGTCTAAGAATATGTAGTTCAGTAAGTTTTCAATCTTTTTTAAAATACTGTGTTAGATTACATGTATAACTTTATTATTATTCCAGACCTTATATCCTGGTTGTGTTTGTCTTCCATCGTATGTCAGAAATACAATCACTAATCAATGCATTCTTCCATCAGAATGTCCTGGGACAAATATCGGTAATTTAGGCAATAAAGTCACTATTTTACAGAAAGTTTTCACTGCAGAGTTCTTTTCATCTAGAAACAAATTTGTAAAACAGAAAGACTTTTTATTACAAAATGTAACAGACAGATATATAAAACTCAGAGCTATTCGAAATTTCTACGAAATATTAATCCATTGTAGTCATGTGGGGGTCACAATTTTGCTGCTAAGTATCTGAAAACTCTCCCCTAGTAGCACGTAATGTTGGAAACGTTCCAGCAGTATATTCCAGTAACATAGACAACATTGAGGCAATATTGTAATGTTAAGGCAGTGTTCTCAAAATTTCTGTAATATTACGTGCTACTGGGGTCTAGAATAAATACATACTTTTTCCAAGATTCGTTTGGAAACATTTCTTGTAAGCATACTATATTATGAGTAAAAATATGAAAGCATAAAAGAAAACAGATAGAACTTAAACATTTATTTGTTTTACATGTATTTTTGACGAGATTCTCGTTATTTTCGACTTTTTACGAACGATTTCTCGCTCGAATGCAACATATTATCTTTTTCAAAAAAGGTCAAGTTTAAATTTTTTTTTTATCTTTTTAGCAGAGAAAGAAATTGAATAAAGAAAAATACTCATGCATTATAATGAAAATAACTTAAATATCACCAAGAAAAGAGAATGTATTAGCTGACGATTATATTCTTTTCTTTTCGCTGTGACAGTTTACTATAATTGAGGCTCCGGATCTTAAAAGGGCACTTTCCGCATAGACTTTGCATGGTGAAAGTGCCCTTTTAAGATCCGAAGCCTAAATTATAGTGACACAATTAATAACTAATTTGTAGCAAACAACGAAAAGACCAAGTTTAATAATCTGCTTATTAAATTTTTAAATAAAATGTCTTTCCGTGTATGTGGAAAAATTACATCACTTTGACAAGTGATGTAATAGACATTGATATAAAATTTATTCCAATTTATTAATGCATGATTTAATAAATTAAATATTGCACGTTTAAGTTTCAAGAAGAAAGCGCCAAACTTCACTTTGTGGAACGAATCAATTGTATGATGCAAGAGCACCACATCCAGACTGCAGACCTTCCTGTGAGAACCGACAGGGGCCAACAATTTGCAATAAAGCACGTAGATGATTTTATTTTCATTTACTTTTGATGAATTTTTAATTTATTGTTTAATTGCTTCCTCATAGAGGAAGTATTGTAATACTAAAATCTTTCGAGTTCGATTTTTTTAACATATCTTTATGTTATTTGACCTCAGGAGTTCAAAAATCACATTTTTTAAAAATGTCATTCCGTATGTGCGTGTGTGTAAATATTACATTTTCATAAATATCTCGAGATCATGAAGAGATATAGGGATAAATTTTTTTTAAATTGTAGGTCTCACATGCGGACATAATATAAGAGTATTTTCAGCCTGATTCATAAAGTTTAACTATATTTTTTTGGATTTTTAATTTTTCAAAAAGTCGTTTTTGGCCCATAACTTAAAAAAATGTTAGGACACCTATAAATGTTTTTTTATCCCACATGCACAAAAATGGCGCTTTTAGATAGCTGACGACAGGGAGTAAAGTCACTCATTTGTTCGACCATATGAAAATGGCGTCCATTTTCCCCTATGTGCAAACATAACCGCTGATCCCATGCGTTATTTTTGCCCAAGGTAGAAAACGGCCGCCATTTTCATATAAGTCGAACAAGTGACTGACTTTTATTCCCTGTCGTCTGTTATCTGAAATCGCCACTTTTGTGCATTAGGAATAAAAAAATATCGTAAGTAACATGGGTATAAAGGCAGCTAATTTGTTTACGATGGTTTTTGTGACACTAGTGGAGGTCTCGGGGCGCCTACGGCGCCCCGAGACCTCTACTAGTGTCATAAAAATCACCGTAAACAAATGGCTGCCTTTATACCCTTGTTGCTTAATTTACTATTCTCTAATTTTGTAGAGTTTTTTAGACGCAGCTTTTGAGCCCTTATTGAACATTTATTGTCCATATTAACCGGAGATATTAAACTTTTAAAAATGTAAAATTTTGGAAAATAAGACTTTTTTAAAAATTTTGTTGAAAAATGTAGAAATAACTTTAAAAGTATCATTATCACCTTGTAGAGCATTGAAAAACGCTTCAATTGGTCTATTTTTTAACTTAATTCGATCATAAATTTCGAAATTATTGGTATTTTAAAAAACAAAAATTGTGGAAAATGACATTTTCTCAACTTTTTTGTTTGAGAACTTTCATTTAACTATTAAACTATGATAACTATCTTGTAGGGTATTTAAATATGCATTCAATCACTTTTATCATATTTATAAAAAGTTTTTCATATACATATTTCTATTATTATTATTATTATCTCTATGAGGAAGCAAAGTGTTCATGAAATGAGCTCCAAAATTATAACAAAAATATACAACTTGGCAGCGGTTTTTACTTTTTGATTCAATTTAACAAATTTTTTTATGTTAAACATTGTTAACTTCAATTTGGTATCAAAGTAACAAAAAAATTGTTCTTTATTTGAACGTTCGAAAATTTAGGGACATAAGTTGCATGAATTACAAAATTACCAAAATGCCTTAATTTTAACAACATTTATGATTTAGAAGAAAAAATATTTCTCGGTGACAATTTTAACAGACTTTATTATAAAAATATTTTCATAAGCAAAAGTTGGAAGTTCCACAAGTTCCAAACTTTCAAATAAATGAGATTTTTTATAAATTTTTAAAAAATTACTGCCTGATATAAAAAGAAAATACAAAATTAAACATGTAGAATCATTATAATTTAATTTGAATACGTGGTATAATATTATTATGAGAGTAGATAATTTGAATTTGAAGAAGAAATAAATAAATTTTGATCATTTGAACGTTCAGAACATGTGAGGATACATTATGTCTCAAGTAATAAACGCTTATCATTGTCATCAACAGTTACTATCATAACTACTATCGTAATAATATTTCTTTCTTCAACTTTTTTTGTATTTGCACTGATTTTTTAGATTGGCCTTTATCCTGGATGTGTCTGCCAGACACCCTACATCAGGTATAGAGTTACCAATCAATGCATCCTTGCAACCGATTGCCCAGCTGTATACATTGTAATGGACAGTGGTGGCTATGCTGATTACTTTAATAATTATTACAATAACAGATATTTTTATTAGAACAATAGTACACTAGAAAATTATTATATTCTCCAATTTTCATATCTGTTAATAAACTTTCAATTTTTATCGAGAATTAAATTTCAATTTTTTTTCTTAATACTTTGAGATTCATCGAAAAAAATTGCTGCCTATTTATTAATATCGTTTTCTTTTTAAGGTCGCATTTTTGTTTTCTTGAAAGTGGAAGAATCTCATTCGGTTTTTATTGTATCTTTACAGTGAGAGAAATAGATGGTAAGATTTTGATGTTAAAAAGAATATGTTACCCGGTACCATCATTATGTTACTGAATACTATCAAAGATGTTATAAAAATATGGTTATGTTACCCACTACAATCTAAGATGTTACTCCGTTTAATCTAATTGTACCTGATACAATCTAGATAGCTGTCCGTATCTGTAACATCAAATATGGTACCTGGTACTATCTATATACACTACCGTCCAAAAGTATCAGGACGATTACATTCGACTCTATGAAAAAACATGCCATTACATTTTCAATCATATCTCGGAAATAAAAGGAGGTACAAAAAAAACTTAAATACGGTTAGAAAGCTGATTAAATTCTGCGTAAAATAAGCCGTCTTTGAAGTCATTTCGTTAATTATTTTTTGAGTTGTAGAGTGAGAAAGAAATAAAAAAAACTATCAAATTTTCTCATTTTTGTCTCTTGACTTCAACTTTTTCAAAAATCTAGAAAAATTTAGATAAAATTTTTCTAAAAACACAGAAATCTTCGTTAGAATTTCAGCTTAAAAATAAGCCTTCGAAAATTAAAAAAGGTTCATCCGTTTTCGATATATCATTAAAAATGTGAAGCAGTGTTTCGACCGATTGCTGCATTGAAATTCAACTATGACGACTCGATTCTGGCTTCGCACGGCAGCGAAAGAGAGAAAACAGGGACGAATTTTTGCTAGAGAATAATAAATAATGATGTTTCACAAGTAATATAAAGAAACTCAAAAGTTTATCGTTCCCCCGCATGAATTTGTTCCTGTTTTCTCTCTCATTCGCTGCCGCGCGAAGCCACAATCGAGTCGTCACAGTTTAATTTCAATGCACCAATCGGTCGAAACACGGCTTCACATTTTTAATGATATATCAAAGACTGATTAACCTTTTTTAATTTTCGAAGACTTACTTTAAAGCTGAAATTCTAACGAAGATTTTTGTGTTTTTAGAAAAATTTTATCTAAATTTTTCTAGATTTTTGAAAAAGTTAAAGTCAAGAGACAAAAATGAGAAAATTTGATAATTTTTTTTATTTCTTTCTCACTCTACAACTCAAAAAATAATTAACGAAATGACTTCAAAGACGGCTTATTTTACGCAGAATTTAATCAGCTTTCTAACCGTATTTAAGTTTTTTTTATACCTCCTTTTATTTCCGAGATATGATTGAAAAAGTGATGGCATGTTTTTTTATAGAGTCAAATGTAATCGTCCTGATACTTTTTGACGGTAGTGTAGTAGCCCGTAACATTTGTTTCACTCAGCAGTGTAAAAGTTTCAATATTTTTATCTTTAATTTTTTTATTTGAATCATAACGGGACATGCCCTTTCGTACATTATGTACTCCTAATTCTGAGGGTGCATTCCTATGCTGAGCAGAAAACAGAATGCAAAGCATAATTTCGTGAGTGCAAGAAAGATAGTCAGATATCACTATCCTTTCCACTCTCACGAAATTCTGCTTTGCATTGTGTTTTCTGCTCAACATGGGACCGTACCCTATGAGTTACATTTGTAACAGATAAAAACAGATACAATATGAAGATTGGCGCTTCAAAAGTTTAAGTTCAGTATAGATGTAAACACCGTTGTAGTGAATCTTGTAGTGTAATAATGAAAATGAAGTAATATAATTAGATATTGTTGTTTCTCCACTGAATCTATTAGAAAATTAGTTATTGTAGTGAATCTTACAGTTTAATAGAAGAATATCAATATAATATTAATTAATAATACTTTATTAGGCAAAAAAAAAATAGCCCATACAGAGTCCATCTTGCAGTAAACAAATAAAAAGGAATAAAAACAATGCAGATATACATACAATAATTAAAACCAAACAAAATAATACAAAACGATGAAATATAAAGAAAAAGTACACACACACATTTCCACCAGCAACGGTGCACCCATCAACATTCCCGAACTTTTATCATTTCAACAAACATATCGATAAAATTATTAATAATGGTAACATTATTAGAAGAAAGCACATTTCTCCAGTACATCTACTGGACGACGTCCTCATTTATATCCGGGAAGTATTTAAGTTTAATTGAAAAATATTTGGGACATAATACTAATATATGGTGTAGATTCAAAATAATATTATTAAATGATAAATTTGTTTTTATGTTCAAATTAATTTTTAAACAATTAGTAAAATTACATGAAAAATAAGATTAAAAATTCTGAATGAAATAAGATGTTTAAAACGTTATAGAAACTGTAAAAAAAATATTTAAAAATTCAATGAGTAACATAAAAAAAGAGGAAAGTATTACACTACCGTCGGGAATTATCGGTACGGCTGCACGCGCAGGGCCCAAAAACATACCAATCTTCAAATCACGATTTCTTTGTAAATACAAATGTCAGAAAATTAACAAATATACACTACCGTCGGGAATTATCGGTACGGCTGCACGCGCAGGGCCCAAAAACATACCAATCTTCAAATCACGATTTCTTTGTAAATACAAATGTCAGAAAATTAACAAATATACCATTCGAAAGATTATTAAATTCTACAATTAATGATATGTAACTGAAAATTTTAATAATTTATACAAAGCTTGCAGCAATCTACAAATTTGACAAAAAAAAATTTTAAAATAAAATTTTTTTGGAAATTATTTCAACCCCTGCACATTTGTTAAAAATTGTAGGAAAAATTTGAAACTTATATAAGTGTAATCATTGAAATCTCATCTTTAATTTAAGACCAAAAGAGTTAAAAAATCTTATTCGGTTCGAGAGGTATCATTATAAACGGCCGAGCATTTTCAGCCAAAAAACGTTCAAAATCGACTAATTCAATGCATTTGTCAAAAAACATGCTCGGACGTATATAATGATATCTCACGAACCGAATAAGCTTTTTTAACTCTTTTGGTCTTAAATTAAAGATGAGACTTGAATGATTACACCTATTTAAGTTTCAAAATTTTCCTACAATTTTTAAAAAATGTGCAGGGGTTGAAATAATTTCTAAAAAAATTTTATTTAAAAATTTTTTTTGTCAAATTTGTAGATTGCTGCAAGCTTTGTATAAATTATTAAAATTTTCAGTTGAATATCATTAATCGTAGAATTTAATAATGTTTCGAATGGTATATTTGTTAATTTTCTGACATTTGTATTTACAAAGAAATCGTGATTTGAAGATTGGTATGTTTTTGGGCCCTGCACGTGCAGCCGTACCGATAATTCCCGACGGTAGTGTATAAAGATTTTTTGCTTAATAAAATGTCATTTTAAGAAATAAATCACAGTACTCTAAAGGAATTTAACTCAAAAATTCCACACACAAAAATGAAATTGTTGTAAAATAGTTATTATTTGTTAATATAAGAGATTAATAACTAAATTTACACCAGCTTGTATATCTATATGTACACTGAGAGAAGTTAAGCGCAGATGCTGAATAGTGCACAGTACAGATGTTGAACCTAAGCTTTGAGCAACATCGGTTCCACTTTGGAATAGATTCTGCGTTTTTGGTGGACAAATTCTGTACTAAAACGTTCGTCCCCCAAGAAAAGACAGAGTCCGTACTTTTTTGGCGCTGCTGATGTTCGATTTAAATACAGCATTTGCACAACTTCAAAGTACAGTATCTGTCCCTCATTATGTGCCGCTGCTGTACGTCAAAGTACAGATGCTGCGCTTAACTTCTCTCAGTGTACCCTACTGAAAAAGAACGACTGTAAATACGAGCGTAAATATGACTGTGAATACGACCCTAAATATGGGCCTCAGTAGGGTAGTGTAATTGAAACAGTATTACAGCCGCATTTATGCCCGTATTTACGGTCATATATGAATACCATTTAAAAAAAATATATATATATATATATATATATATATATATATGACGGGTTCCACGTCAAGTGACCCAGGTCCAAATTTTAAATGTTTGGGATCGGGTTAAAAGTTTGCACAAACAGTAGTCCTATTCGATACAATTAAAAATACCAAATATTATTAATTTATTTAAACAAATATAAAAACTGGAGAGGGTCAAAGTTTAAATTTTTGGTCTAACATGGAATATTTGAAAAATTTGTAGTTTCTTTAAAACAAAACGAAAATACATTTTCTATTTTGGGTTTTTCTGCTGTTTTTCAACACTTTCTAATGGTGTAAACAAATGTAGAAATAAAAGATTTGACCTTGAAAAATTAAATTAAAAAATAAAATTTCATTTTTTCATCAAATGGACAGTTTTTATTTTTTTAAAAAAATTTTATCATAAAGGTGAGGTTTTTTCCTAAAAAAATGTATAGGTCAAAACGTGGGACAAGAACTTTTAACTGGTAAAAATAAACATTTACTTCTGCAATCCACCGCCCCTGCGCGTTGTTGGGCTGTATATTGTTTATAACAATTGAAATAAATTATTTTATGCTTTAATAATTATCTGGTGGTCATATTGGATAAATTTAAATTGAATTAGATCACGTGCAACAACGGAATAAAAAAATAAACGTCCTTTTTTAAAAAAGTGTATTAATTTGTTAACTTTGATTTAAAAAAAATTATAAATAATTAAAATCCCCAAAATCGGCCTCGAAGGAGGTCTTAAGAATTTATTCCCCTTTAATTTAAGACAAAGAACACTTAAATCGGTTAAAAATTGTAAGCTATAGACATTTTTTAATAGGAAATTGTAAAAAAAATTCCACTGTGGGCCGGTGCAGTGCAGATGTAAATGCTTAATTTGACCAGTTAAAAGTTCTTGTCCCACGTTTTGACCTATACATTTTTTTAGGAAAAAACCTCACCATTATGATAAAATTTTTTTTAAAAAAATAAAAACTGCCCATTTGAT